AGGCGGGGGTGGTGGCGCATGGGGCGGGCCCCAGGCAGGGCCGACCCTCCGCGGCAGCCAGGTCATGCCTCCCAGCGCAGCACAAGAGGGCGAGGAGCGGGGCGCGCCGCTCAACCAGCCCCCTGCCCCAGCCGCTGCCGCCAGGCCACCGCCGCCGCCTCGCCGGGCCGCCATGTGGCGTGCGCCGCAGTCAGTCAGCCCCGCCCGCCGCCGCACCTGCTGCGGGCAGCGCGTAGGCTGCCAGCGCCTCCAGCACCGCTTTGGCGAGGCAGAAGTGGCGCGGGCACTGCTGCATCAGCGTCAGCCAGCTCTCCAGCATCTCCAGGACGTCCTGCGAGGGGAGGGGTGGGGGCGGCGCGGGTGGGGGCGGTTGGGGTTAGGGCGTGTGGCGGTGGGCGTGTGGTGTGGCGGCGTGGCGGCGGGCATGTGGGGAGAGGGAGCGCGGCTGCGTGGCAGCGCGGCTATGAGGGAGGGGCAGCATGGCGGCGAGGAGGCCGGCGCTGGTACGGCCGCCGCCGCCGCCGCCGCCGCCGCGCGCCTGCTCCGCTGCCGCGCTGCTGCCGGGGCCCACGCGCATGCCACCCCCAAGCACGCAACACACGCATACACACAAAACATGCACAAATACTGCCAGCACGCCCGCGCCCCCACCTGCGGCATCATCTGGTGCTGGGCGCAGGCCAGGGTGGCGGGCCAGAGGCAGGAGAAGACTTGTGCGGGCATGGTGCGCCGCACGCCCGACATCACCGCCGCCGCGTCCCAGCCCCAGGCCACCACCTGGCCCGTGACGGGGCGCTGCCGCATGCGGTCCACCAGCGCCGGGATTTGCACGCTGGAGGAGCGGCGCTGCAGGGTGCAGGCGGCGGCGGCCGCCGCCGCCTCGGCCGCCAGCGCCGCCAGGTCTCCAACCTCGGATTGGGTGAGGGAGGGGGCTGGGGAGGGGGAGTGGGCTGACGGGGAGCGGGGCGAGGCCCGCGGGCGGCCGCAGGAGGAGGAGGTCGCGCAGGAGGAGGGCTGGGTGAGTGGCGTGAGCGGCGCGTCGGAGGACTGCTGGGAGGAGGCGGCGGCGGCGGCGGCCAGCGCGGCCACGTCGTTGGGAGAGGCCGCGCCGAGGCTGCACGCCGCGTCGTCGCCGGCGATGCTGTGCCGCGCGGGCGCGGGCTGCGGCGCGCTGGAGCTGCTGGCGGCGGCGGCGGGCGGCGGCGGCTTGGCCGGCGCAGACGCTGGTGGTGGCAGGCCGTCGGCTGGCGCCTGCCGCGGCGCGCCGGCCTCACTCCAGCCGCGGGATCGAGCACAGGCGAGGTGGGCAGGCCAGCCGCCAGAGTGTTCCTCACGTGCGCTGGCCCCACCTAGGGCATGCCCCCCGACAGCGGCGGCCCTCACCTGACACGCCGCGCCTCTGGGTCCTCCAGTAAGCCTGCGTTGGAGTCGCTGGGAGCGGCACTGGCCGCCGCAGTGCCCATTTCCTGCTGCTTGAACTGCTTTCTGCGCGCCTCCAGCCCCTGACCTCCCGATGATGATTGCACTACCGTGGGAGGCGCAAGGACGGGCACGGCAAACTGGAGAGCCACCATGAGGCGGCGCAGAGAGAGGCCCGCACAGGAGGCTAGCTGTGTGTCGGTGCACAACAGCAGCAAGGGTGTCAGAGAAATGGAGTGTAACAGAAGCTGCGATCAGCCTGGGCATCGCGATTTCAGAGAGGAGTGTGCGGGAAAGCCCAGCCAGCTAGGCACCTTCCAGGGGACACCCGCCGGCCCTCCCCAGCCACCAGAAGGGCTTACAGAGGCCGGTAAAATTGTGGGCAAGCGGCGGCGGCAATGCGGGAGCCCCAGCGCCTATGTTTCTTGCCCCTTCGGCCGGCGTGCGGCGGTACCTCAGCAGCGGCGGCAGCCTCCTTCCCTGTTGCAGAAAGGCTGGCATGCGGCGACAAGAATTGCACTCCCACCGCAGCGAGCGTCGTGTGCAGAGCATGGCAGCGCGACCCTGCACCTCTCTCCTGCCTCGTCATGCTGCGGGCGCGGGCGCGGCAGCCACGGCGGCGTCCGGGGCGGGCGCCGGCGCAGTCTGGCCGTAGCCGGCCAGAGACTCAGCCTCCACCCCGCCGCCCAGGCCGCCGCCGCCGCCCGACACCGCCAGGTTGGCGGCCGCCGCCGACACCTTGGGGATCTCATTCAGTGTGGCCCTCGGCAGCAGCACCTGCACGCAACATCGTTGCGGGCAGCAGCGGGGCACAGGCTGGAGGTGAGGACACCGGCGAGAGGAGGAGGAGGGTGCCGCAGGCACGCAACGACGGCTCCGCCCTGCTTCAGGCTGCACCTTCCGGCCTGAACAGCGCTGGAGGCGGCTGCGCGCCTCCACACTGACCCCTGCTCTCGCAGGCGGCAGCCCGTCGCAACTTCCCTGCCTGCCTGTGCAGCGCCCTAAACCCTAAACCCCGCCCCCACCTGGTCGACGACATACACCAGAGCGTACGCTGCAGTACCCCCCCACTGCAGTACCCCCCCCCACACCTTGTCGACGACGTACACGGCGGCGCCGCAGCCATACCGCGTGGCCTCGGCGGGGCCCGCCACCACATCCGCCTGCTGCCCATTCACATCCTCAAGCGAGTACCTGCCGGGCAGCGGCTCCCGCACCTGCGGCAGCAGCGGCAGCGGGGCGGAGGGAAAGGGGGGCGGCCAAAGCATGCTTTCTTTCGGTTCTGGGGCGTAGGGAGGTGGGCACACGCGCCCCGTGAAGTGCCGCTGCTCATAACCTGCTCAGGGCGGTGCTTGTCTGCTCCGCATGCGCCCCAGCCAGGCAAGAAGGCGGGCGGGAGGGCAGCTGGGTCGGGCGGCGGCGCGGCCCCG